TTATATACTCAATAATATTATAGAGTCAGAACGAATAAAAGAATGTTTTTCTTGAGGTATGTGGACTGGTGGCAACATGATCTACAGTCAACCACCTTGTTGAAAATACATTGAGATCTGTTGGCTCAACAAAAAAAGATCTTGGAATCAAAAAGTGCTTTCACAAGAACTGTTCATTCATGTGAGATGAATTTGACTGGCTTCAAAACCATTTACAAAATCTTCCTAAATTGATCAATATCTCATTGCATCATACTCATGTCTCCCCCTATCATTTGTTTATGTTGTGCTTTCCAAAAAATGTTACTATCCAAAAGAATTGAGAACAAAAATGACATGGATAGGCCCACGGGGCATACAGCCCATGGCAAACCGCCCCGAACCCATCACCTCGGACCCGTAGCATAACTTAATTGGCAAAGCCCAGGACAGCTGGAGTCCACCTGGACTGTATCACCCAAGGGCATTCGGACACATGACAGATGAGACACAGGCCACATCAGCAGACAAAGATCTGCAGAGTTATTGCCACAACACATCACCATTAATGCAGCCCATCACAGCATTTATTACGACAACACCTCCCCGTCGGAACAGAGCCCCCTCACCCTAAACAAGGTAAGCTACGACACAGGCTTTCGGCGAAAAGGGGGGCACGTCACAAAGGACAGTGAAATGATTACCAAAGGATATAAGCAACAAGAGAAGCACAAGAAGAAGGTTAAGTTTTTCATTTCTCCATCTTCTTCGCTACATTTTCCGGTCTTCCTTCTACTAATTCTCTCGCCGGAGGGTTCACTGGGGGACTGCCCCGTTCCCCTTTGGACTTGCTTGCAGGTCATCTGACAGAATCATCACCCGAAACCAGAACCTGAAGAACCTGGGCCAGCCTGACCCATCCACCCGGGACGGCCTGTATCATCAAAAAATAATTCCATCATGTTTCAAGAATTTGGGTGTGTTGATGATGACAATTCAAAGAAAACAAGTTATGCTTCCAGCACCTAAAATATGAAAACTAGCCTTTACATAAATTTAAATTTGTTCAAACAAAGAAAAAGCTTCTATTTAAAACTTGCACAAATTTATTTATTTTGGAAAAAAAATTTAATTGTGACTGTAAAAATAATATATGCTGATAATTGTGATAGTGATATATACAATTTTTTTTTTTAATAAATATTCTTGTGTATAGCACTTGAACAAACATATTGTAATCATCTTCTATATTATTAATATTTATCAGTATATTATTCTATAATTGATTTAAACAGTGATTGAATTATACTTAATAATATTATAGAGTCTGAATGAATAAAAGAATGTTTTTCTTGAGGTATGTGGACTAGTGGCAACATGATCTACAGTCAACCACCTTTGTTGAAAATACATTGAGATCTGTTGGCTCAACAAAAAAAGATCTTGGAATCAAAAACCCAAATCAGTTAGATCATCACAACCTTCAATGTCATTTTCTAATTTGAATATTGTCCTAGCTAGATTTAGATAGCCACTATAATGACAAGAAATAAAAGCTTCATATCAACATCTCTAAATTTATTCATTTCATGATATAGATTATTCCATTCATTTATTTATTTTCTATTTCTTATTTCTTATTTCTTTTGTTACAGGAAAATCCTTCTACTCGCCTACAAATCCAAGGCAGCACCCCTTACAAAGATCACCAGGGTGTTCTGTTGTCCGTTCTGAGTTAGGAGACTATAACCTAGGAACTTCCCCGACCTCCCAAGACAAGCTCCGCTTAAGTCAGGACAGATCACCAGGACAAGTTCCGCTTAAGTCAGGACAGATCACCAGGGTGTTCTGTTGTCCGTTCTGAGTTAGGAGACTATAACCTAGGAACTTCCCCGACCTCCCAACGCAATCTCCGCTTAAGTCAGGACTCGCATAGCGGGGGAGTATTGAACCCACATCAAGTGCGATAAAGCTTGGGAACTTGCCTCGACCTTAAGTCAAGACTCACACAGCGGGGGAGTGTTAAACCCACACCAAGTGCGATAAAATGTTTGAGACTAACCTCCTAACTAACTGTACTACCGCCAAGGAGATTGGTCCTATGGAGTTTTGAACCTAGGACCTAGGGACTTAATCTCTCGGGCTTTGCCACGTTGCGAACCACCGTTGGGGTTAAATATTTTGGTTTCAATTTTTTCTTATACTTTGATATGAGGAATGAAATATAGTTTAAGAAATCAAATGCAAGTCCTGTATACGTGCTAGTTTATCAAAGTTACTTATAACTTTTTATTATTTTTTTATTATGAAATTTTGTACTATATTGTTTGGTTTAGTTTATTCTTACAGCTTTTAGGCTTGTTTTGGGAAGGTGGAAATAAATAGTTTTTTGGTTTATTTTCTTGCTTTTTGGTTATTCACAAAATTATTTGGGAAGCGTTAGGTTTTTGCTTATTACGAAAAAATTTGTAAAAAGTATAAATGTGATGTGATCTAAATAAGCCAATAAGTTAACAAGTTGTCTTGTCACTTCCCAAAATGGGCTTAAATATTTTTTTGCTTTTTTGAAAATTATTATTATATGGCGTTACATCATTTGGAAAATTATAAATTTGTCATATTACCCTCATGCATTATTAATGTATTTTTGTATTTTTGTAAGAAGCCATATAGCCAAGAATATTTTGATAATTTCACTTGTTGACTTATTTCTCACTTTTCAAATGAATTTTTGATGAAATAAATTGTTCTTTTGACTTTTTTGAAATAAGTCAAAAGTTTTGCTTTTTTCTTTGTTCCCAAGTAAGGCCTTAATTTGAGAAAAAGGAAAGAAAAAAAATTGGGTTTATTTTTAAAAAGTTAAAAAAAAACAGTTTATTTCATCAAAAATTCATTTGAGAAATGAGAAATAAGCCAACAAGTTAAATTATCAAAATATCCTTGGCTTTCGACAAAAATGCATTAATAATGCTTGAGGGTAATATGATAAATTTATAATTTATAAGTGATGCGACATTATATAATAATAATTTTTAAAAAATTGCTCATTTAACACTTCCCAAATAATTTTTGTGAATAAATTAAAAAGTAAACAAATAAATTAAAAAATTATTTATTTTCATCTTTCCAAAACAAAGCCATATTAGACAAATAAGCTTAACTATCTAGACGGTGGAGAAGTAGGTATTTAGGCCTCGTTTGGGAACACGCATTTTTAGTAACTTTTTGTCTTTTTGGCTACAATATGATGTAAAAAAAACTAGTATATTTGAGATGACTTTTTTGGCTTTTTACGAAAAGATGTGCAAAAAGTAGAGAAAAAATGAAATCTTTGACTTTTTTGTATAGGTTGTTGACTTTTTGACTTTTTGACTTTTTTAGTAACTTTTTGACTTTTTTACTAACTTTTTGACTTTTTAGCTAAAAAAGCCGTTTGCCAAACGAGGCCTTATTACTTGCTCTGGCAAAGGTAGCTTTTAGCTCACCCAAGTCAAAATTATATTGCCAAAGGTTTTTTTCTTAGCTTGATTTCCCAAAATCAACTTCAATGGTAAATTCGTGGCTAAATTATAGTTGTGTTACATATTGTGCCACATTTGGTATAAAGTTTGACAAAACCAAATATGCCACATCAATATATTTGTTTCTGCTGATTATGGTGAAATGATTTACTGATTTTTGTTTCACCAAGAATTTTATTTATTTATTTTTTTTTTTCATTTTCCTACGTTTTGCATTTTTTACTTTTGGTATAATTAAAACAAAAATTAATAAAAAAATATTTTTTATGATCAATCAAAAAAATACTTACGTGACAAAAAATGTTTTCTTTTTACAAAGTTTTCCAACCTAAAATCTTATCAATATCATCACACTTCTATCCATCCACCATCACAACCTCCCAACAACCTTCATCACCATCGCTATCACTACCTCTACCTCTATTCCACTACTACCACCCCATAACTGCTACATTCCACCACTGCCTCTGTACCACTACTACGAATACAACTATCAGTATTTAAGATGCAATCAGAAGCAAGAAAAGATCTTTGGAAAAAAATGTGAAACTTTTTTCTGTCAAAATGATTTTGCATGAAAACATACGGAGCAAGACAGTGGTAGTTATGCAAAAAAATAAAATAAAATAAAATTAGACATTGAAAGAATGAATAAAATGACATTGAAGATGTTCTAAACATGCAATCTAAGATTACTACCAAACAAGCTTTAGCTTCAGCAATGGCATGAGAGATGGATTCATAGGACCCTCAGCAATAGGAACCAGAGATTATCACCATGATTTCACATAAAATAATACCTATAGTTGTGCAAAGATAAAAACTCGACGGTGGATATACATGTTTAGATATACATGTTTAGACATTGCCAGCCTGCATACCATCTGTCACAATCTAGTAGGGAGAAAAGAACAAAAAAAAAAAGGAAAAAGACACCGCCTCCTATGGAGCTTCATCCCCTCAGAAACTAGCACACAAAACCCTAATTGTTGATAGTGATTGCAGTATATCTATCTTTGGACATGGTGGACAAAGATAAATTTGTTTGTACGGCACCAAACTCTTACAATAATTTATAGTGCACCACAAATGTTGTAAAAAGAGGCTCATAAGGAGCAGATAATTTAAATTAGATTAGATCTAATTCATACAGATCCTCTGAACTAAAGATGGAACAGTTTCTACCAAGAAATTCAAGAAATGATCACTTTTAAAATAGTAAAAGGAACGTTTCAAGGACTGATTACTGATTATTCAGAGCTAATTTAATTAAACGAGCTGATATTGTTACCGTCTCCATTGGTTGGAAGTCTGAAACACCCGAAAAGACCAGCCTTTTTCCGTCGTGGGCTACTTCTCCCACTGTGAATGAAGTCTCTCAGGATAGTGGTTGTTTTGCTCCTGGATAATCGGCTTTTCTCATTGTTTTTCTTTTCATCCAATAGTTTCAACAAGACGTAATGGATTTTTGGAACCTCCCATTGCAACCATCCGATCTTTTCAGACCCTTTTCGTGCCTGTTCCAAGACTCTCTTTTTTGGACATCCCCAGCCTCTTCCAACTCTGGTGAAGCATTTCCATCCGAATGCAATGGGCTCTGCTCGATATTTTGTGACAGTTGACCGTTAACCTCCACAAGCTGCACAATAGTTCCTCAACTTCTTGTTGCTGTTCCTTCACTATCTCAAAATCAATGCTCTTCGCCTTTTTTCTCTTCTTGTTCATCTCCAATTTCCTTCTCAGGTTTTCTACTGTTATCATAAGGTTCTTCAGCATCTGAGCATCTGAATCGAGTCTCTCCAAGATCTTTTTCTTGTTCTGATCCTGATGCGGCTCAGGAAAGCTGCACAATAGTTCCTCAATTTCTTGTTGCTGTTCCTTCACTGTCTCAAAATCAATGCTCTTCGCCTTTTTTCTCTTCTTGTTCATTTCCATTTTCCTTCTTAGGTTTTCTACTGTCATCATAAGGTTCTTCAGCATCTGATCATCTGAATCGAGTCTCTCCAAGATCTTTTTCTTGTTCTGATCCTGATGCGGCTCAGGAACACATGTGGGTACCTCTAATCTATGAACACCCAACTCCTTCTCAACTTGTAAGTCCAAAGAGTGATTTTCATTCTGGTGCTCTGCATGCTCAAACTCCTGGCACGGAGTATCATCCTCTGTTGGTTTGTTTGCTTGCTTGTGTGACTCTTTGAGTGTTCGATCAAGACCACAGCCGTCCTCTGCAGCTTCCCATAACTCAAGCATCTGATCATCAGCCCCATGATTCCTTCTCCTGCTTATTCCATACAACGAACCGTCTGAAACGTGATGAAGTGGAATATCTTTCATCAGAATCCCATTCCTCACTTCAGAAATTTCCGGTTTTGTTTTCTGCAACTTGAGTCTGTCAACAAGCTCATCTCGAAGCTCCATCTCTGCCATTTGTTTGTCTTTTTTTAGACTGACACAGTCGTTGGATTTCAACTCTTCGAACTCTTTCAAAGCAGCATCTAGCTTGATGTTGGTGTGTAAACTTTTCTGCATCACCAGCTTTTTCTTCTCTTCTGTTACAACCTTTTCAACTGCTTTAATCCTAGTCTGTAAATTCTGCAATGCTGAAATTCTGTTCAGTATCGCAGAGTTATGATCTTCCATCGGTTCTTGACATCTTTTCTCATGATAATGAACCAATTCCACATCCTGGAATATGTGCAGGAAAGAGAAGGATCAAGTTTTAGTTAAAGATTTTCTGTATTAAATAGGGCATTCAACTAGCACAGATGGACAGAACTTGGTGTAACAATATGCAAGACGTGCACAGCTTGCTCGAGTTCTAATAAATTTTGAGTTAAAAAGAAAGTTCAAGAACAAGAAGAAATTCTCAAATCTCTCTACAATAAATATTAAATGTTAACAGGGTATTAAGAGGGAAAGTAAAATGCAGTGATGTGATGTTAGTCTCCCATGTATTTAACAGTACAAAAGTCAACAATTAAATGGAATCAATCACCAAAATGTATTAGAAAAGGGAAAATGGTACACGAACAGAATTTTTATACAAAAAAAAAAAACTAAAACAGAATCATATGGCAGTGGTATTTTCAAAATCATAAGGCACAATGATGTGTGTTTTTATTTGAAATGAAGGACCATAAAAAGTCACTTTTGAAATCATGAGCAATAGGAGTTTTGAACAAAATTTTCTTTACAACATTACTTTGTGATACCAAAAGAAAAAAAATCAAAAATTAAGAAAAATTTGTGATCGTCGAGTGAAACCCTTCGAACGATACCAACTATTCAAAGTAAATATTGCAAATGCTATGAACACAAATGCTAGACTATAATGATAAAAAACAAAATAAAAGATCTAATTTCACATGGGTTCCAATTGCCATCTAATGCAACTTAGCTTTATTATCGACATGGTAAAGTAAGTCCAATTCCTAAAAGTAAAATTTATACATGTTATGTTAGTTGCATTCAAAAAACATCAAATGTGTGGATGACATTAAGAGAATTTCTGCCAACTTGATTCAGGATAAAAAAAAATACTTTCTCTGGTCAAAGTTATACTAAAGAACATACCTTTTGTTCTTGATTGTCAGCAACGTTAAGCTCTGGCGGAGAGAGGACATTGTGCTCAAGTGATGCTATGTTATCTCTCAGAGAATTTATGGTAGGAGCATATGCAAATAACTGAGCCTTAAGGCCTCCAATTTCAGTCTCCATGAAGCTAACTCTTTCTTTCATCTGTTCTATCTCAACTGTCTTAGAAGCATTTTCGTTTTCAAGAGTTTCACATACTCCAGTAAGCTCGTTAAACTTATTTTCAAACAAAACTTCACGGTTGTCGGAGATTTGAAGATTGAACTTGAGTGTTGCAACCTCAGCCTCCCACATTTCAAAATCGTTGCCTATCTCTTGCAGCTTCGAATTCAAGTTCTCTTCTCTAATTCTGTGTACTTCAACATCTTCCCGTAATATACCCAGTTCAGAATCTAAGTTTCCATTAACTTCACGAAGGCATTCGATTTCTTTGTTCTGGCTTGCATTTTCTTCAGATAGTTCAAAAATGTGCTTTTCTAAATTTTCCTTCATGCGTATTGATTCCTCATGTTGCTTCTTTAGTCCTTCCACAATTCCGCACAATTCTGAATTCAGATCCTCTGTAGCTTTAAGCTTCTCCTCTACTTCCAAAAGCTTGATTTCCTTCTGATACAAGAAATTCTTTCCCGTTGAGATTTCGTGCCGCAATTGATTATTGAAATCTCTGACCTCAAGCAGCTCCTCCTCCAACTTCTTCATTGAATCTTTGAGAAGTAAATTTTCCGTTTCTTTCATTTCTAACTCCCTTCCCAATACACCAACCTCCTTTTCAAGGTCACTATTGACCCCATGAAGATTGTGCATATCTTCACAGAGTAATTTTAGTTCCACAGATTTTTCAGTTCCAAAGTTCTTGAAAATCACCGACAGGTTATCAAGAGCCAATGTTTCCAAGAGAAAAAAATTGTTTTCCTCTTCTGCCATGCATTTCTCTTCCTTTAGCTCTGAGAGAGTTTTCAACAAAGACCTGTTTTCTGCAAGCACTTGAGAATATTCGCCCTATAATTTAAGGTAAGCCCTCTGCAAATCTCCTTGCTGCATACATAGCCGCTCCATTTCAGCCTTAACCGTGTTTGCATGTTGATCTCCCATTTTCACTTCTGATTTCAACTGTCTGTTTATCTCTAGAAGTCTGTGCTTCTCATTTTGCACCATCACAAGCTGCTCAGTCATGGCTTTGAACTCCTGCTCTAAGATTTTCTTCTCTGACCCAAATTCCACACCTTCTAATCTCAGTTGCCCAACCAGAGTAAGACGAACAGAGTTCTCAACCAACAGCTGCTGCTTATCATCCTCGTAATTCGAGAGAGAACATTTCATATCCTCCATATTCTCTTTAACATGATGCACAAATATTTGCTCATTTGCAATCTCATCGTCCAGTTCATTATCTAGACCAATTTCAAGAGCCTTGAACACTTGATGATATATACCCATCCTTAGCTTTTCAATTTCATCTAACAAGAGTTCTGCTTCCACCTGCTGCTCAGGATTTTCACTCTCTAACTCCGAAACCAGTTTCTCCGTCAATTTGGATTCCTCGACATGTTTCTGACACTCCATCAATAGAGTGTAATTCTTTTGTTCCATGCCTTGTATAAACTTCTGTGAAACAAAGATCTCGAACTGGGCATTCATAGCTTTATCAAGTTCTTCGAATTCTTTCTTCCTCCACCTAGTTTCTTCTTGCAAGAGTTGAATATGGTTTTCCAGACAAGGCAATCGTGCCCCACTTGACAATGCAAAACTTGCCCGCTCTTGTTTTTCTACACCTAGAGACACCTTTAGTTCTTCCACTTGAGATAGCGTGGATTCTTTCTCCTTCTCCATGCCAGCGTATTTTTGTTCCAATACTGCAAATCTCATTTCCAGGTTTTCTAGTCTCCGCTCAGCGTTGTCCAACTGAACAACCAAAGTACCTCTTTCAGCAATAAGATTAGACCGGTCATTATTCAGCGACTTGCAGAGTTCTTGTAAGCTCTTTGATTTTTCCCTCAGACCTTCAAGTTCAACATTTGCACCGAAGAGGGAATTCTCAAGAACAGTGTTTTTCTCCAGGATCTTCTGCATATTCTCAGTAATAATTTGTGACTGAGACAGAAGGGCTGCTTTCTCAGAAACAAGGGCAGATTTTTCACCATGTAGAGATTGGCAAGACTCTTGCAATGCCTTGACATTTGGTTGTGACCCTTTCAACTCACTGCTCAAATCTGACAGCGAACTCTCCAAAACAACATTCTTATCTAAAAGTTGTTCCATGTTCTCCAATTTCTTGAAAAGAGCTTCTTTATCATCTCTGTCCTCCTTGCAAATCTGTCTCAGCTTTGTGTTCTCATCCTGCAAATCTCTCACAATACATTTTGGGTTCAAACCGACTGACTCCACTTGCTCCATTAAAGCCTGATATCTCTTATTCTTTGTAGTCTCGATCAGAACCACACTGTTAAGGCATCTGATTTCCTCTTGAGCACAAGAGGGTTCACTCTCCAGCTTAGATATTTTCTCCAAGCAATGCTCATACCGATGTGGCATTTTAGGTCTGTGAGGTTCACATTCTGCCATGGTTCGATCAGCCTGGCAGAGCTGCCCCGTTGTGTGATCATACCTTTCCGCCAAGGCACGGTACGCTCGGTAGAACTCCTCAACCAATTTCATGAGCTCGGGCCATTTTTTGTAGTACATTTCTGCCCTTCTTGCAAAGGAATCTGCATCTTCTTCAATGAGCATGATCATTGCTGTGACTTTGGCATTCATATCTGTTCGGAAAACCACATGTGGAAGAGTTAATATTGTGGCCTAAAAAAAGGCTTTAAAACTGGCCATCCAATATTTGGGACACTTAAAATACGATTTCAAACAGGCTGAAATGCATTTATTATTATTAAAACAGGGAAAGCATTAGGACCAATTATGACTGGAACTTTTATGACTGTTAAAAACAAAAGACAGATGGATCAAATGACCATTAGATCAATTTTCTTAGAACGCACTGAGGTGATCTACGTGCTCTCATTAATGAATGCAAAGCATCATATGAAAAAACATACAAACTAGTAGGAAATGATATGAAATACAAGAAGCAACTTACTAGACCTCTTGGAAGAAGAGTCTCATTCATGCTGATTTCAACTTTGTAACAAGGTAGCAATAATAGTATAGAAAGTAGGAAAAGATAACAATCGAGGACATGTTAATGATAACCCATAAACCAAACAACTGCTAATTGTCATGGACCAAAACCAAAATAATTTATCAAAAGAAAATTAAGAATTTCATATAGGCTACAGAACCTTAGGTGGGAAGCTATAGCATGGAAGCCATACCAGAAAACTTGAAAAATAGAAAAAACAGCGAATAAGACTTCAACTTGACACTAGCATTGTCAGCTCTTTCTCAGCTTGAAAATGAAATACATCCCAATCTGGGAATAAATGGAAACTAAAAATTAAGGAAGGAAGCACCATCAAGAATCATATTTGCATGGGAAAAAGGTTAAAATTTGAAAACACAACAGTAATGCCAATGCCTTGGGTTAAACTGTATTCTGAGTTACTCCGCAAAAACATGATTCTAAAACTCGATTCTTGGTTTGAACCACATAATCGTGGTTCTAGAAGAGAAATATCACTTGCAAGTATGCAACTTAGGTATTACCTTCTAGGTCAAGGAACCCTAACAAAGTTCACTCACACTTAAGATCACGAGATTCAATTGCAAACCTACATCTTATATTACTTATATGCTAATTGAGTTTAATCAACTCTACTCAAAGTTGAGTAGTTGGCACAATGGTATCCTTACTTGCTAGAGCTATTTTGATTCAATAAATGCAACCCCACAAATCAAAATTTTTCTTAGAAAAATTATCAATAAGTCCTATTTTGCTCTTAAGATTACCATCGAGTCCTATCAAATTTTATTTTGGACAACTAAGTCCTAGTTTTTATAAAATGTTGCCCAAAAGTTCAATTCTCTATAATGGTGAATTTTATCCCAATTTTACCTTTCTCATTTAATATGAACAACAATTTTAGTTTACTTAAAATTATATATTTTAATTGTACAAATTATGAATATTATATTAACCAAAAATCATAAACAACATTTGGATTGAAAAAACTATAGCATCAAATTTCATCATTTTCTAAAATCCTCCGAAAGTCTTAACTTCAACATATGTTTCTGAACTAACTCCCTCTCCATTGCTGTATGAAGTTCAACCCAAAGCCAATGTCAAAAAGTGTTAAGCCGTTGTTTATGCACTAAATTATTATTTAACACAACAAAATGGTTTCACATCTAGTGGAAGCAATGGAAATCCAAATAATAACCATCAAGAAATTCCATACTTGGGCTTTCTTTTTCTATTTTTTTTTTGGCAAGTCCCATCCCCCTTTTTTTTTTGGGCTCACAAGGGTGTCTAGAGCTTCTCCCCAACTAATCCCCCAAGTACATGCAACATATATCAGTAAGTACCGGACCAAAGCCCTAGGAGTAAGTTCCCTCACTTGATAATATAGAGTTCTGCCTCTGCTTTCTACTATCCTATAATTTCATGATTCTTTAAAATAATAAACAACATAAAGAAAGGAAAAAGACAAACACGAAAATATTAATTGCAAGCAAAAGACACCAATCCTTAAAAACCAGAAACCAACAAAAATTAAGTGACAAAACAAACACCTTTAAGATTTTCCTGAAGCCATTTTGAATTCTTTGGGCTATTGTGACTGTCCCACCACCAAGAATACAAGCGCCTGGACTCAGAATGCAGCATTGTCGCCATGACTGCAGGTAATGGACCCAGGCCAGTATCAAAACTCAGTATTTTCTACCACAACCGAATTTACAATAGCTTTGGAGCTCAGTATTACCTACCCACAAAGATCATCAAGAAATATCAAAAGCCCAGGTCAGATCTTAATCACCTAACCAATCTTAATCTATAAACATAGAGGATGAAGAAATATCAACATTTTGTGGTATTTAATAAATTTACAAAGAATAAAATAAGGTAAAAAAAAAACCATAACTGCAATTATTTTTTTTACCATAAATAAATATCATAACAATTATTTTTTGGAGAATTGATCAATAAATTTCATATTTCGGTCTTGTGATTTATATAGTCTCAAATGTTTCCTTGTTAACAGTGTAATCCTTTTGACTGGTTGTTTATTAATTTGCCATTGGTCAAATTATGATAAAAAATTGTTAATGTAATTATGAGAGTAAGGGTGCCTGCGTTTCACGTTACGGAAAAAAACGTACTAATATTGTTTTAATGTTTCCAAGTATGGGCAAAGTAGATGTGCGTGTGTGTGAACATGACGTGTGAGTGTGATTTGGCCCATTTTTGAGGTGTGAAGTCACATAGTAGGGCCCATAATGACCCGTTTGCCCCTATACATTTTGAACCAACCCATTCAATTACACCAATTTCGAAATTTGGTGTTCCAATAGACGGGGTTTGCAAACCACACCGGCTGAGACTGTATGATGTTTTGCGAGGTTCATACATGCAACGGGTTGAAGAACGTGACAATCAGAAGTTGTGGTGTGTGAACGGTAATTGATGTAAACATGCACACAGTAAATAAGCTCTGTTGCAAACATGTTTTCTGCATACATAAATCTGGAGTCCATGTTCACACAATAACCAACCAACAACAACCAAAACCCCCAAATATATGTTCGTGCATACTGACAATAGCCGTAATTTCCACTGCATTCACCATTGACATATGAAAACAATTAATTTCGGACTGCGAAAAACGGCCAATTGATGAATGGCCACACATGATGCAACCAAACGTGAAGGTGTGTCGAAAGTGTGCCATACCTGAACACGGCCGACTATGTCCACGTCATCTGCAGAACACTCATCACCCACCTCGTTAACAAGAATGATTCAAAACCCTAAT